CATTTAAAAAAAAAAAAAAAGACACTCCACAGGGCCCCGCCCCAACTCCGCCCCTTCCGGCCCCACCCCAACTCCGCCCCCATCCCAACCCCTTCCCCAAAGTCCCCGCCCCAACTCCGCTCCCTCCTCCTCCCTCCCAGCCACGCGAAACAGCTGCCCGAGCGCTACCGGCTTCACGGTTTGCCGGGCAGCCCCCAGACCTCCAGACCCTGCGCCCCCGGCTGGGCGCTTCCCCAGTGCAGCCGGAGTCCGGGAGGGGAAGCGCCCAGCTGGGGACGCAGGGTCTGGAGGCTGCCTGGCAAACCATGAAGCCGGTAGTGCTCGGGCAGCTCGGCTCTTCAGCTGCACAGAGCTGAGGTGTCTGGGGGGAGCAGCAGCCGCTGCTGCCGGAGCCACTCTCAGGTAAGCAGGGGACAGGGATGCCAGCAAAGCATATTCCTGGACACGTTCAGCTTTTTGGCAATTCCCCCCAGACGGGGATTTGAGGACCAAAAAGCTGGATTTGTCTGGGACAATCCGGACGTATGGTAACCCTAGGTAACAATTGAAAACTATTCCTAATTCATCTGAAATTTACCAGTATTGTAGATTTTTATGCTACAAATAGCCAAATTTTCAAACAAAGGTAAAATTCTTTTACTGACAAGCCAAAAAAGAGTTTCTCCCTCCTAACTGAGGGCTTGAAACCACAAGATGAGTCACTTCCAGATTGCTGCTACTAAGGGTATATCTGTGCCAAGAGCAAGACTTGCTGTGACCAGTTTTCTGTTCCAGAGTGAGTCTAAATATATGCAGCAAGTTCTTTAAATCTTAGCTCTCAGTTACTTATTTAGTATTATTTCTAAACAATTGTTAAACTTGTAACTAAAACAAAATGTATAATGCATACCTGTAAGTCCCGTACAGAACTGACACAGCTACATATTGTATGCAGTGTTGTAGCTGTATTGTCTCAAGATGTTAGAAAGACAAGGTGGGTGAGGTAATATATTTTACTGGACCAACTTCTTTTGGTGATAGAGAGGGGTGCTGAGGAAGAGCTCAGTGTAGCTCAAACTTGTCTCTCTCACCAACAGAAGTTGATCAAAAAGCTTTTGAGCTACACAGAGCTCTTCTTCATGACCTTCCGCCCCCCCAAGAAGCTGATCCAATAAAAGATATTTCACCCACTTTGTCTCTCAGATACATGCTTTGGGAAGTACTTAACTTGGTTATATTAAGTTATCACATGGCAAAATATGCATAAAAACCTATTTTTCTGTTGTAATTGATACAAAGGTATCAACATTTGCAAGAACTGATTTCTTAAGATAGAACATTCAGGTACTTAATTTCAACAATGGTGTTCTGACAGCTGTATCTGGTTCTTTTCCCAGATTTCATTGTCTCCCTAGCACTTTAAAAAAAAAACAGTTAATATGGTATGTGTCTTAGGACAAGATAAGGTGTTGGGGGATAGGGGGGACCCTTCAGTAGGCAGCTGGTGGACTGTCTTTTTGTCCAGATACTTCAGCCTCAAGGATCAAATAACTGAACACAAAAAAGGCCTCTTAGCAGTTACCAATGGGCTGTCTAACCTGTTCTTGGTAAACCCCTTTGTGAGCCAATCAAAAAGTTACCTCCTGCTTCTGACAAAGATTTGCAGTGTTCCATTTGGAATACAAGTGTCTTATGTCACCTTCTAACCATCCAGTGAGAAAATGTGTCCCTT